AAACAGTTATTAAGTAAAAATATAATTAAGAGGCTCTGTGATATTAAGAAAATAATCAGAATTCAAGAAAAATTATATTTGCTGAACTTCAGATAGCTAAAGCAGAATGGGATGTGTAAATGCAAGAATAACATAAAATCTTGGTGGTGTTTTCAGATCATTTTTGCAGTAACAAAACTAAAGAATTGTAATTGCTCTAAGACCTGAACTTGCTCAGCTTCTCCTTTAGTTTGAAGGCCACTGATCTGCCTATGCTCAAATGAACACCTGTGTATTTCTACATTGTGACAATTCAAATATAATTTTCAGCTCTTTAAATTCACAAATTATTATTTAAATCCAATGCTTTGAGACTGTGTCACCAAAATATTGGTGTGAAAAGTTAGTCGTGGTAGAATTTGGTGAATACTTAGAATAACACTACATATATACCAAAAACATAATGAGTAAATAATTCTTAACAAAGTTCTTGAATAAAACAGAGGGTAAGACAGTTTTAAATGCACATAAAATCATATTACCTCGATCAAATCAACAGTCAATGTCTCCAGTAAACACAATACTATTGAAAACCAAGAGCAGCAAAACAATTCAGCAGAAACATTATCTTCACCGTTGCTCACAGAAATATGTCCATCTGGTCAGCTTTCTCACATTATTAGTGTTAATACAAAAGGATGTGGTGAAAACATGGTGTGTTTGTGATTAATTTATAGTTTATGTATAAATGTCACTTTTTTTGCCTGATATGGTTTGGCTCTGTCTCCACTCACAACTCACCTTGAACTGTAATAATGCCCATGTGTCAAGGGCAGGGCCAGGTGGAGATAATCGAATCAACAGTATGGAGGTTCCTTCCATACTGTTCTCATGATAGTGAGTTCTCACAAGATCTGATGGTTTTATAAGCATCTGGCATATCCCCCACTGGTACATTCTCTCTATTGCCTGCTGAGATGTGAGACTTACCTTTTGCCTTCCACCAATTGTGAGGCCTCCCCAGCCATGTGGAACTATGAGTCCAACTAAACCTCTTTCTTTTGTAAATTACCTAGTGTTGGGTATGTCTTTATCAACCTCATGAAAATGAACTAATACAGTAAATTTGTACCAGGAGAGTAGGGTGTTGCTAAAAAGATACCCAAAAATGTGAAAGCAACTTTGAAACTGGGTAACAGGAAGAGGTTGGAACAGTTTGGAGGGCTCAGAAGAAGACAGAAAAATGTGGGAAAATTTGGAACTTTCTAGGGACTTGCTGAATGGCTTTGGCCAACATGCTGATAGTGATATGAGCAATAAGGTCCAGGCTGAGGTGGTCTCAGACTGAGATGAGAAACTCGTTGGGAACTGGAGCAAAGGTGACTCTTGTTATGCATTAGCAAAGAGATTGGTGACATTTTTCCCCTTCCCTAGAGATTGGTGGAACTTTGAACTTGAGATGATTTAGAGTATCAAGCAGAAGAAATTTCTAAGCAGCAAAGCATTTAAGAGGTGACTTGGGTGTTTGTTGTTAAAGGCATTCAGTTTTAGGCCGGGCACAGTGGCTCATGCCTGTAATCTCAGTACTTCGGGAGGTCAAGGCAGACAGATCACAAAGTCAGGAGTTTAAGACCAGCCTGACCAATATGGTGAAACCCTGCCTTTACTAAAAATACAAAAATTAACCAGGCGTTGGGGCATGTGCCTGTAGTCCCAGCTACTCAGGAGGTTGAAGCAGGAGAATCACTTGAACCCAAGAGGCTGAAATTGCAGTGAGCCAAGATCATGCCACTGTACTCCAGCCTGAGTGATAGAGCGAGGCCCCATCTCTCAAAAAATAAAAATTAAAAAAAATTTTTTTAAAGGCATTCAGTTTTATAAGGGAAACAGAGTATAAAAATTCAGAAAATTTGCAGCCTGACAATGTGATAGAAAAGAAAGTCCCACTTCCTGAGGAGAAATTCAAGCTGGCTACAGAAATTTGCATAAGTAATGAGGAGCCAAATGTTATTCCCCAAGACACTGAGGAAAATGTCTCCAGGACTGGCAGCCCCTCCCATCACAGGCCCAGAGGCCTCGGAGGATGATTTCCTGGTCCAGGCCCAGGGTCCCCATGCTCTGTGCTGTCTAGGAACTTAGTGGCCTGTGTCCCAGCCACTCCAGCCATGACTAGAAGGGTCCAAGGTACAGCTCAGGTCATGACTTCAGAGGGTGCAAGTCCCAAGTCATGGCAGCTTCCATGTGGTGTTGAGCCTGGGAGTGCACAGAAGTCAATTAAGATTTGGGAATCTTCGCCTAGATTTCAGAAGATGTATGGAAATACCTGGATGTCCAGGCATAAGTTTGCTTCTGGGGCAGGGGTCTAACAAGTATGTCTACTAGGGTAGTACAGAAGGGAAATGTGGGGTCAGAGCCCCCACACAGAGTCCACACTACGGCATTGCCTATTGGAGCTGTGCGAGGAGGGCCACCATTCTCCAAATGCCAGAAAGGGAGGTACACCTACAGCTTACACTTTGTGCCTGGAAAAGCCACATATACTCAATGCCAGCCTGTGAAAGCAGCGCAGAGGGAGGCTGTACCCTGAAAAGCCACAAGGATTGGAGCTGTCCAAGACATGGGAGCCCACCTCTTGTATCAGCATGACCTGGTTGTGAGACATAGAGTCAAAAGAGAGCATGTTGGAGCTTTAAGATTTGACTGCCCCACTGAAGTTTGGACTTGCAAGGGCCCTCTAGCCCCTTTGCTTTGTCCAATTTCTCCCATTTGGAATGGCTGTGTTTACTCCCATTGTATCTAGGAAGTAACCAGCTTGCTTTTGATTTAACAGACTGATAGGCAGAAGGGGCTTGACTTATCTCAGATGAGAATTTGGACTGTGGCCTTTAGGTTAATACTGAATGAGTTAAGACTTTGGGGGACTGTTGAGAAGGCATGAATGGTTTTAAATTGTGAAGACATGAGATTTGGGAGGGGCCAGGGTGGAATGATATGATTTGGCTCTGTTTCCCTACCCAAATCTTGCCTTGAATTGTAATAATCCCCATGTATCAAGGGTGAGGCCAGGTGGAGAGAACTGAATCATGGGGATGGGTGGTTTCCCACATACTGTTCTCATGATAGTGAATGAGTGCTCATGAGATCTTACAGTTTTATAAGCACCTGGCATTTCCCCTGCTGCTGGTACATTCTCTCTCTTGCCTGCTGCAATGTAAGACGTGCCTTTTGCCTTCCTCCATGATTGTGAGGCCTCCCCAGCCAGGCAGAACTGTGAGTCGAATTAAACCTCTTTCTTTTGTAAATTACCCAGTTTCAGATTTGTCTTTATCAGCAGCATGAAATCGAGCTAATACATTGCCTAAGCATAGAAAGAGAACTTTCACGTGTAATTAGGTGGTACTCTCAACCTTCCTCTACCTTGGGGCTATTAATTTTATAATCATCATTTAAATCTCCTTACAGCATTTGATTTAGAAAATGCATTGAAAATATGAGAGTTTTTCAAGGTCACGCATGGCTTAGAAGAAAGAAAATATTGCCTTTATATATAAATATTTTTCTTATTGTCACGAAGGAAGAGAACACATAGAAAAGTTGTTAACTGTTTCTAGTGGGGGCTATTACGAGATCCCCTCTATAAGACCAGTGCTTCCACTCCCCAGCTGCTGAGAGTCTGCTAAAGGCTCAGAGCTTCCTCTATCCCCAGAGAACTACCCGTAGGAATAGAAGACATATAGAACTCACCCTTCTACTCCTGCAGGTTTAGATATATTCATGACTGGAAGCTGCTTCAGCCTGATCCCACAAGAGCTCTGGAGCATAAGTTGTGCCACAGAGTTGTCCCACCTCGAGGTGAGGGGTCCGTTGTTTGCACCCTCATGTCAATTACTCATGAGTTGCTGTCTATACCTGCAGGAATGGAGGGTAAAATTCTCCCTGTCTTCCATGGTGTTTCTCTCATTTTCTCCTTCCCATGATAGCAACCTATCTCCCAAACAAGTCACTTTCACTAGATTATCTGCCTCCGGTTATGCTTCTGAGAAACCTGTTTGAACACACTTTTAAATGGGAAATCTGATGTGCACTTGATGCAAGCCCTCATTCCTGGCAAAGCTCAGTCTTCAAAATTCCCTGAGACCAAGAAAGATTCTATTCTGTCTTCTAAAGCTTTCACCCAGGTTCCCCAGAACTCCACAGTACCTCATAACTCAACATATATTCACTAGCAAAAGCAAGCCATGCTCTTGGGCCCTTCAAGTATCCAGATTGTTACTCCAGCCCTGCATAATGACCAAATGTTTTGCTGATATCTATTTTTTTCAGAAGAGGCACTTGCCAAAGTTAAAACAGATTCTTAGCCAAAAACCAGAATCTGCAAATGCCTTCAGGAAGAAATCTGCTGGCCACTCTTTGACTTACAGGAAAAACTTCTCCCCTGTCTGGAACTTTTCTGCTTTCAAAGCACTCTGACATATTTAAATATAGATATTCCTGTGTGTGTGTGTGTGTGTATAATATATTGAGCATTTGCTAGTTGCTGCAACAGAAGCACTGTCTTCTCCAAGTTGTATCTAGAAGTAAAAGCCCTTTCAGGTTTTGCTTTTTTTTTTCTTAGATCCAATTTATGTTCTACATTGCTAAGTAATTGTCCAATTTATCTAAATTTTAAATATATTCCAATGACGTTGTTCATAGTATTAGTAAATAATTTCAAGTTCTATAAGATTAAAATTAAATTCTATTTTGTTTGTATTATTACATATTATTTATACTATTTACATGTTGAGTAATTTTGCTTGGTATTCTTCAATCATTTAGGTGTTTCTTTTATTTCATTTGGTTTTATATATTTCATCATCTTTACTTGGATATTTAGGTCGCTGGTTTCCTATTTGATTTTTTTAAAAAGCTTTTGGGCTGAGACAATGGAGTTTTCCATATATAGGATCATGCCATCTTAAAACAGAGATAATTTAACTTCCTTTTTTATTATTTAAATGGCCTTTATTTCTTTATCTTACCTGATTTCCCTGCCCAGGACTTTCAGTACTATGTTGAATAGCAGTGGTGAGAGAGGGCATCCTTTTCTTGTGCCAGTTTCCAAGAGAAATGCTTCCAGCTTTTACCCATTCGATGATATTGGCTGCGGTTCTGTCATGTATGTCTCTTATAATTTTGAGGTATGTTCATTTAGTACCTAGTATATTGAGAGTTTTTAACACGTAGATGTTGAATTTTATCATAAGCTTTTCTGTATCTATTGAGATAATTATGTACTTTTGTCCTTAGTTCTGTTTATGCAATGAATCATTTATTGATTTGCATTTGTTGAACCAACCTTGCATCTTAGGGATGAAGCCAACTTGATCTTGGGGTATAAGCTTTTTGATGTGCTGCTGGATTCTCCGCTGGGCAGAGATTTGTCCTCACTGGAATAAACACTTACTAGATATGGGTTTGGCTATCCTGCATGCAATGCTTCTGCCAAGACTACCATCTGTGAACTCAGATACCTTATCCACCATCGTGGTATTCCATATAGCATTGCCTCTGACCAAGGAACTCACTTTATAGCTAAAGAAGTGTGGTGGTGTGTTCATATTCATGGAATTCGCTGCTCTTACCATGTTCCCCATGGTTCCCCAGCTGTTCCTGAAGCAGCTGGATTGATGGAACAATGGAATAATCTTTTGAAGTCACAATTACAATGCTGACTAGCTGACAATACTTTGCAGGGCTGGGACAAAGCTCTCCAGAAGGCTCTGAATCAGTGTCCAATATATGGGACTGTTTCTCCCATAGCCAAGATTCACGGGACCAGGAATCAAGGAGTGGAAGTAGAAGTGGCACCACTCACCATCACCCCTGGTGATCCACTAGCAAAATTTTTGCTTCCTGTTCCCACAACATTACATTCTTCTGGCCTAGAGGTCGTACTTACAGAAGGAGGAATGCTGCCACCAGGAGACACAATGACAATTTCATTAAACTGGAAGTTAAGATTACCACCTGGACACTATGGGCTCCTCCTGCCTTTAAGTCAACAGGGTAAGAAGGAAGTTATAGTGTAGGCTGGGGAGATAGACCCAGACTATCAAGATGAAATCAGTCTACTATTGCACAACAGAGGTAAGGAAGCATAGACATGGTATACAGGAGATCCATTAGGGTGTCTCATAGTATTTCCATGCCCTGTGATGAAGGTGAATGGGAAACCACAACAGCCCAATCCAGGCAGGACCACAAATGACCCAGACCCTTCAAGAATGACGGTTTGGGTCACTGCACCAGAGGAAAAAACACCACAACCTGCTGAGGTGCTTGCTGAAGGCAAAGGAAATATGGAATGGGTAGGAGAAGGTAGTCATCAATACCAGCTACAACCATGTGACCAGCTGCAGAACTGAGGGCTGGAACTGTCATGAGTATTTCCTCCTTCTTTTGCTAAAAACATGTTTGTGCATGCGTACACTGGTACTAAGAAAATATCTTTATTATTTCCTTTTCCTTTATCATGTAACGTAAGATTTATTGACTTCATATCAGCATTTAAGCATTGCTAACTTTATGTAATAATATTTGGGTTGGGGATCACTGCATTTCCAATTGTATGGAGGACAGTGTATTATGTTAAGTATAATTATGACCTCATTATTGTCTTTATTTGAAGATTCTGTACGACCTCAGCAGCTTTGTACGGGCTCAAGTTGACAAAGAGTGGACTCATGATAGTTAATACTGAGGGTCAACTTGACTGGACTGAAGGATATAAAGTATTAAACCTGGGTGTGCCTGTGTGGGTGTTGCCAAAAGAGATTAACATTTAGTCAATGAACTGGGGAAGGCAGATTCACCCTAAATCTAGTGGGCACCAGTGGATATAAAGCAGGCAGAAAAACATGAAAAGGACAGATGGGCCTACCTTCTCAGTCTACATTTTTCTCCCATGATGGCTGCTTCCGGCCCTCGAACATCAGACTCCAAGTTCTTCAGTTTTGGGACTCAGAATGACTCTCCTTGTTCCTTAGCTTGCAGACAACCTATTATGGGAATGAACTTGTCATTGTGTAAGTTAATACTTAATAAACTCCCCTTTGCTTGTGTGTGTGTCCGTGTGTGTGTGTGTGTGTGTATGTCCTTGTCCAGCCCCAAACCACAAACTATTTCCCCTTTCCCCTTTATTTTCTTCTAGAAGTTTCTTTTTCTTTTCTTTTCTATTTTTATTATACTTTAAGTTCTGGGGTACATGTGCAGATCGTGCAGGTTTGTTACATAGTTATACACATGCCATGATTGTTTGCTGCATCCAACCCCCTGGCATCTACATTAGGTATTTCTCCTACTGTTATACCTCCCCAATTCCCCCACCCACCTGCTATCCCTCCCCTAGCACCTTCACCCCCAACAGGCCCCAGTATGTGATGTTCCCTTCCCTGTGTCCATGTGTTCTCATTGTTCAACACCCACTTATGAATGAGAACATGCAGTGTTTGGTTTTCTGTTCTTTGTCAATTTGCTGAGAATGATTGTTTCCTGCTTCATCCATGTCCCTGCAAAGAACATAAACTCATCCTTTTTTATGGCTGTATAGTATTCCATGGTGCATATGTGCCACATTTTCCTTATCCAGTATATCATTGATGTGCATTTAGGTTGATTCCAAGTCTTTGCTATTGTAAACAGTGCTGCAATGAATATACGTGTGCATGTGTCTTTATAATGGAATGTTTTATAATCCTTTGGGTATATAGCCGGTAATGAGATTGCTGGGTCAAATGGTATTTCTAGTTCTAGATTCTTAAGGAATTGCCACACTGTCTTCCACATGGAATGAACATTTTTACACTAATGAACTAATTTACACTCCCATCAACAATGTAAAAGTGTTCCTATTTCTCCACATCCTCTTCAGTAACTGTTGTCTCCAGATTTTTTAATGACTGCCATTCTAACTGGTGTGAGATGGTATCTCAATATGGTTTTGATTTGCATTTCTCTAACGACCAGTAATAATGAGCTTTTTTTCATATGTTTGTTGGCTACATAAATGTCTTCTTTTGAAAAATATCTGTTCATATCCTTTGCCCACTTTTTGATGGGGTTGTTTGTTTCTTTCTTGTATAAGTTATTAATGACCTACAAAGAGACTTAGACTCCCACACATTAATAATGGGAGACTTTAACCCTCCACTGTCAATATTAGACAGATCAACAAGATAGAAAATTAACAAGGAAATCCAGGACCTGAACTCAGATCTGAACCAAGCGGACCTAATAGACATCTACAAAACTCTCCACCTCAAATCTTCTAGAAGTTTCATAGTTTTAGGTTGTAATTGAAATTATTCATCCATTTTGCATTGATTTTTATATATAGTGTTAATTAGGCATCTACTCTCATTCTTCTGCATGTGACTATACAACATTCCCAGCACTATTTACTGTAAATACAGTCTTTTTCCCTATATGCATTTTTGGTAACATTGTCAAAAATCAGTTAGCTGTAGGTACATAAATTTATTTCTGGGCTGTCTTTTATGTTCTATTGGCCCATGTGTTTGTTTTTTTGTTTGTATGCCAGCACCATGGAGTCTTGGTTACCATAGTTTTGTGGTATGTTTTGAAGTCAGGTAATATGATGCTTTCAGCTTTTTATTATTATTATTATTTATTTTCCTCTGGATTGCTTTGACTATTTGGGGTCTTTTGTGGTCTCATATGAAATTTATATATTTTTAAAAATTTTCTATGAAAAATATCCATGGAATTTTGATAAGGATTGCATTAAAACTGTAGATTCGCTTGGGTAGTATGGCCACTTTAACAATACTAATTCTTCTAATCCATGAGTAAAGAATATCTTTCTATTTATTTTTCTTCAAGTTGTTTTATCAATATTTTATATTTTTTATTGTAGAGACGTTTCACCTCCTTTGTAAGGGTTATTCCCAGGAATCTCTTTTGCTGTTGTTGTTGCTATTATAAGTAAAATGATTTTCTTTTCAAATAGTTTATTATTAGCATATAGAAACACTAGTGATTTTTGGCTGGGCACAGTGCTTCACATCTGTAATCCCAGCCACTCAGGAGACTGAGACAGGAGAATCAATCAGTGAAACTGGAAGGCAGAAGTTGCAATGAGCTAAGATTGTGCCACTGCACTCCAGCCAGGGTGACAGAGTGAGACTCTGTCTCAAAAGAAAAAAGAAAAAGAAACAGTACTGATCTTTGTATATCTTTGTGTATTGGTTTTGTACCCTGCAAGTATAATGAATTTATTTCTTTGAACAGACATTATTCGTGGAGTCTTTCAAGTTTTATATATATATGTCATTTATATACACATATATATACACATTTATATATACATATATATACACATATATATAAGTATACCAATATATATATGTATATAATACATAATGGTATGTATTATGCCTATATTATATACACCTATATATATACATACATATATACCTCACCTATATATATAGGTATATATGTGTGTGTGTGTGTGTGTATATATGTAAAACATGGTATATATGTATATATGTGTGTGTGTGTGTGTGTGTGTGTGTGTGTTTTGCAAATAAGAACAATTTGGCCTCCTTTTTTCAAATTTAGATGCTTTTTATTTCTTTCCCTTGTCCAAATGCTGTGCCTAGGACTTCCAGTATTATTAGTATTTTGAATGGAAGTTTATTATTATTTCTACTTATATTTCGAATTATTTTATTTTTGGTTGCTCTATAATTTGCAGCCTACATCTAAAATTGTTAAAGCCTTTTACAGATTTCTACTGTTATTTGCAGTTGTAGTTAATAACTTTAGTGTAATTCAATTCAGTGACCATTTACTGTAATACTACTGCTATAAAATTTTCTTTATATATGTTGCAAATCTTACATACATTGTTATAATTATTATTGTAAAATTATATCTGTGAAAGAAGTTAAGACAATAGACACTTTAATATATTACGTTTTCCAATTCATGAAGACAGAGACGACTTTCCATTTTTTGGTGTGTGTTTTGTTTAATTTTTTTCTCAATGTTTTGTAGTTTTCAGAGTGCAAGATTTCTCCCTTCTTGGTTAATTCTTATATGTATTATTCTATCTGTTGATATTGTAAGTGAGATTTTTTTTGGTTTTCTTTTCAGATAGTTCATTGTTAGTGTATGAAAATTTTTTAGTGTCTAGAAAGCTGTTTTTTATTTCTTTTTGTGGGGTTGCTTTGGTGTTATTTTCCTACTTCAATATAGGTTGTTCCCATCAAAATCCCTTGAGCTGTTATTGTAAACTATACTTTTTTGTTGCTTATATAATTGCTTTTTAAATCACTCAAGATAATAAGGGAGAAGAAATACGCAAATATGGTCTTTCATTGTTTTCTCCATCATTACCTCTATTAGCACTGTTTGTTTTCACATGTGCGTTTGAATTACTGTCTAGTGTTTTTTGTTTGTTCTCCTGCTTTTATCTGAGGAACATTCTTTGGTATCTTTTGTAAGGCAAATATCTACTACAAATTCACTAATTTCCTGTTTATTTGAGAATATGTTTATTTTGACTTTATTTTTGAAAGAGTATTTTGCTGGAGACTAGAGTCTTGGTTTCTACAGTGTTTTTGTTTGTTTGTGTTTTTGTTTTTTCTTTCCACACTTTGAATATGTCATTCCACTGTCAAATAAGTCTACCGTTAACCTCACTACTTCTCCCTTATGTTTGATGAGTTGATTTTCCCTTGCTGCTTTCAACGTTTCTTTGTCTTTCAGCATTTTGAATATGATGTTTCTGAACATGAATCTCTTCGTTTTTATTCTACTTGAATTCCATTGAGCTTTTTAGATGTACAGACGCTTTTCATCCAGTCTAGTAAGCACTCAGTCACTATTTATTCAAATATTTTTCTGTTCCTTTCTCTCTCTAGTTTCCTTGTAGTAGTGTCATTAATTTATTTGGTAATCTACTTCATGAGAACCCATTTATCTCTGATACTGTTTTTTTTCCTTCATTTGTCTTTTCATCTATTCTTTGGATTGCTTAATCTCTATTGATTTATCTTCAGATTTATTGACACTTTCTTCTGTAAGCTACAATCTATTGCTGAGTGCCTCTAGTCAATATTTTGTTTTTGTGATTGTACTATTCTACTTCAGAATTTCATTTCATTTTTATATTTTATGATTTCTATGTTTTCATTCATATTATCTACAATGACAGTGTAATCATAACTTCCTTTAATTTTATAAATATTGTTTTCTTTAGTTCCTTGAACATATTTACAATGCTTTGAAATCTTTCTCTGCTAGGTCCACCACATAGTTCCCTTAGGATAATTTGCAAAAACTCTTAGTTATTGCTTATATTTTATAATTTGTTTTTAAGCAGTAAGACTGTTGTTTTGCTACATAGGTTAATCAAGCGTTTTATTCTAACATTCTAGAAACATCTCCCTCCCAGGCTATTTTAATTTAGAAAAAAAAATTGTAATTAATGCTTGAACACTAAACTATCCATTTTGTAATGCAGAATGTTTGTTAACATTTATATTTAAATATTTTATTTTCTGCTCTAACTCATTATTTCACTAAATTTTATTAGTTTTCGAATGTAGTAGAGAGTAATGAAGGAAGGAGCTGATAAACTTTGTATTACTTATTTCTAACTTAGTTTAAAATATGACAAAATAATGTCAATTCAAATTATGTGATTCTTGGAAATTTACTGACATTTGTATTTTGGCCTAGTTGCTGGCTTTATTCCTTTAATTGTATATGTGCATATTTTTCATTTACAAGCTTGTTAAATTTGCTCAAAAAGTATATTCACATTAATTTTTGTTGTTTAATCTAATATTTTCTTAAAAAGCTACATTAAAGCTGTTGCTGTGATTTTCAATTTCTGCTATTTTAACCATCTGTAATTCCAGTCACATTTTTCTTTAGATTATTTATATAGAAACTTATGATTTCTTCTTACTTTTTTGTAGATTTTTAAATTAAGCACATAATTTTGAAATCCTTCCTGCCTTTCAAT